CGCGGGTTCAGCGGATGTAAAGCTGAATGCTAAAGATATGGCAGATCTCAAGGAGCAAGTGGCAACTGGAAAGGGTGCGGGGAGGTTTATTAAGTCTCTGATGGAGGACGGCATGGACCCACCCACAAGTGATATCACAGACTGGAAGCTACTCAGCAGGTGGGTGTGTGCTATGTGTGCTTGGAGGTTTGTTGTTATGTATGTATATATGTATGTAAGTTATATATATATATATATATATACATATATACATGGATGTATGGATTTATGTACTTATGTGTGTATATATGTGTATGTATGTATGTATGTATGTAAGTATGGATGTATGGATACACATACAGAGGTATACTCTTGCCTTTGTCATGTATACCTGTTGTACCTGTTATTGTACCTGTGTATGTGTCCATGCACTTGTACAGGTGCACCGTCTGGGGCCACACGGCACCTTAATCCGCCAAAACGGGTTCAATTGAGGGCTAACCAACCATATATAGGCCCATTATTCACCTGCATGTCACACATAACCACGAGTCGGAAGAGGTCTATACCAGCACTGGTACGAGTTTCACTGTGTACAGATTCAACTACTTATCAAATGTATACACACATATCTATATAAAACAGATACACGTGCTGCCTGCAACTAAAGCACCGTCTGGGTCTCCATGACAACCTTATACCGTCACAACGGGTGGCCTTGGTAGACAAACTGTGTCACACCTATGTCAACACTATCCACCTAGGCAAGGACTTACTACCAACTGAGCGCCAGTACAGCGATGATCTGATTCTGTTGGCGGCGGACGAGCTAGTGGACATGTACGCACGCTACACGGGTATGGCAGTGATTAGCATAGAGTAGTGTTTGTGTATATGATGTATATGTATGCAGGGAATGTGTGTCTGTGTTTAATGGTGTTTGTGAGAGAGTTGCACTTCACGTCTTTGTGAATGTATCGGTAGAAGAATAATTACATGTAGATACATACACCCAAACGCGTATACACAGATACAGACTATATATATATATATATATATATATATATATATATAGTGGTCGGTCGTTCTTCTTATATACG